ATCCTAAGGTTTGGCTCATTCCTTGGATCAGGCATAAGGAATACCCACTCTCTTCAGGCCCTGAAAAAAACTATTGGTCTCTTGCCTGAGTGCATCTGCCCATTCCCAGAAGATGAGTTGATTAATTCCTTTGGCATAAGCCTTTACCCACATTTAGCATCTGGAATACTTTTGAGTCTGGCCCAGTCTCCTGCCCAGGCAGTTGTGCTCTGGATATTCTCCTAATGGATGTGTATCACATGATACTGTAATAGTTGCTCCTCTGCCTCCTTGTCCCAAACCATGAATTCCTCTGAGTCATCTCTATTCCTATAGAAATTTCATTTTGTTTTCTCTACTAGGAATCTTTGATAGGGTAGTATACTTTAATTATATGGTTTAGTACTTAGTAAACATTCAGAAAACAACTTTTGAGCTGAGTGGTTTATTCAGTAATTTGCAACAAATCTCTTGCTTTACCCACCACCACCCCTTGGCCACTTGCTGCTCTTTTCATTCTTCTTGATTTAGGTAGTTGCTTTTTTTGGTTTCCGTACTCTGCCACTGCGTATTGCTTCCCTATTGCTTTATCTGCTTCTGCACTGTACTACTCTCTTGACATTTTTTCCCACAGAATTCATCACCCCCAAAACTTCCCTTAAAGTCAAACCATCTAAGGCTTCCAATGCCCCTAGCAGCCCTATAGAAGCATCTGTGCTGTGCAAGAAATATAGGCAGCAGGCAGAGACTACAACCAGTAGATAAGGCAGGTTTTCCTAACACCAAGGATCTGAAGACCTGGGTGCTGGTCCTATTTGACTCCTAATTTCTTGGGTGACCTTGAGCAGTTTACTTACCACAGTGCTTATTACTCTAATAAAATATATAAGTATATAGATATACATATTATCTAAACTTTGTCCTATTTTTTTAAATAGTCCATTTTTCTTCCATATAAATGATTATTAAAACACACATATAAATAATCTAGGGAATATATTTACTCAAAGACATACTACTTGTGTTTAAGAGCCATGACCATTTGAAAACAGGAAAACCAAATTTTAGTACAATTTCCATATTTTGGGACCCACTAATTCTGTTTGAGATTATTAGGAAAAGAGGTGTGCTGTTTACCTTTGTGATATTTATGGGGTGGAAGGGTATTTACCAAATTACTATTGTTAATGAGATGATATGGTGAAAGTTTTAACTCATTTTAGGGAGTAAATCTAATTCTTAAAATTTGTCTTTTCTCTATGGGTCATTTGGTTATCTATTAATTTTCCTCGAAAACATCATCCTATTTGTTAGTCTTATTTGTCCAGCCCTTATTAGCTCCTAATGCTAGATAATAAAGCTGCATTTCTTATAAAAACATATTTGTTCAGTTTTGCCATTCAGACTTTTTACAGGTCTCTTCTCTGTCACCCATTTAAGTCCAAGTTAGTAATATTTTAATTTATTGGGAGGACAGTTGCTGTGACTGAAAATTTAGTAGAATGAAGTAAAAGTGGCTTTTCCAGTAGGGTGTTAAGTGACTGCGGATGTATATCATGAGCAGTGTGTTTAAGATTTGCAGTTATTTCAGTGCTCAACCAATCAGTGCTTCTTTTCCCCACTTCAGTCGGCTATGTCAAAAAACTGCATCAAGCTTTTGTGTGAAGATCCCGTTTTTGCAGAATATATAAAATGTATCCTAATGGATGAAAGAACTTTCCTGAACAACAACATTGTCTACACATTCATGACACACTTTCTTCTAAAGGTATGTCACAAGTTGGAAACTCAGCGTGTTACTTCCAGTTAGTGAGTGATTGTGCTTTCATTGTGTTGGTCTTTTGGAGATTTTTCTTAATCATCTTTTTCAGGTTCAAGGTCAGGTGTTTTCTGAAGCAAACTGTGCCAATTTGATCAGCACCCTTATTACAAACTTGATAAATCAGTATCAGAACCTGCAGTCTGATTTCACCAACAGAGTTGAAATTTCCAAAGCAAGTGCTGCTTTAAATGGGGTAAGAACTATGCAAGGGAAGTCATGTGCTTCAGAACTTTCCTTAAATCAACTCTAAACTTGGCCTTCGTATGATTTTACTATATACATAACTTTATTATTCAAACTCTGGAAGTCACATATGATGAAAAACCTAACCAAATAAAAATGTGCTCACTTTGCCTTTTATGTATGTAGCACACACTTTCTGTTACCTTAGAAGACATGAGCTAATGTCATTAATGCTAAGGGCAATGACCACTAAGGGGAGACATTCCCTTTATCTCTACTTTCTCACATTTTTTGAAATGTTACCGGTGATGTTTCTGTTAGTGCCTGCGACTCATAAGTAACTGAAAGTCAGATTAGTAATCTGAATATAAAGCCAGTTAAAACTAGGGAATCGGTTGCCTTCTATAGACTCCCACGAAAGCCATGTCATGGAATAATGAAACACCCTGGAAACACGTGCTTGCACACGTCCAGCAGCAGCCTCCCAAGTAACAAAATGCTTAGATGCCAGAACAGATTACAGAGCTAAGTGAGGAAGACCTTATGACATCCACCAGAAACCAAGTAAAACTGATTCCTAGATTAATGAGGCCTAAATTGCTCATGGATCATTCAGGATTTGCTTTTTAAATTCCTGTGTAATTTTTCCCCCCCTTTTCCCTTTTCAGAAAACACTATTTGGGTCTTCAGTCAGACTTAATTAGTGGTGTGGTGCATAAAATAATGGTATTAGTGACCTAGAACCAATGAAATATAAATAGTATCATAACACTGGCTTTCTAGTTTTAACCTTCTTCTAAAAATACCAGAGGAACCAGGATGGATTCCTGGAAAAGTAAACGTGCATTTAAACTGTTAACGGTTGTAATGCTGGCTTTGGAATTTGAAGTGTTCCTATCTGGATTTCTGTAGGACTTGCGGGCACTTGCTTTGCTCCTGTCGGTACACACTCCCAAACAATTAAACCCAGCTCTAATTCCTACTCTGCAAGAGCTTTTAAGCAAATGCAGGACTTGTCTGCAGCAGAGAAACTCACTCCAAGAGCAAGAAGCCAAAGAAAGAAAAACTAAAGGTTAGCTTTATGGACTAATAAAATATTGACTTTAGGGTGGGAGAAGGGAAGAATACTGACTTTACAATAGCTGTGTAAGCCTCCTGAATATAAATGCTAAAAAACAGAATTTCCACAACCACTCCCAGTATGATCTTAATGACTCCTTTCAGAAAATTTGTTTTGATGTTCCTTTTTCACAGATGATGAAGGGGCAACTCCTGTTAAAAGAAGGCGCGTTAGCAGTGACGAGGAGCACACTGTAGACGGCTGCGTCAGTGACGTGAAAACAGACACCAGGGAGGTCCTGACCCCAACTAGCACTTCAGACAATGAGACAAGAGACTCCTCAATTATCGACCCAGGAACTGAGCAAGATCTTCCTTCCCCTGAAAATAGTTCTGTTAAAGAATACCGAATGGAAGTTCCATCTTCGTTTTCAGAAGACACGTCAAATATCAGGTCACAGCATGCAGAAGAACAGTCCAACAACGTTAGATTTGAAGACTGTAAAGAATTCAAAGACCTCCACTGTTCCAAGGATTCTAACCTTGCCGAGGAAGAATCCGAGTTCCCTTCGACTTCTCTCTCTGCGGTTCTGTCTGACTTAGCTGACTTGAGAAGCTGTGACGGTCAAGCTTTGCCCTCCCAGGACCCTGAGGCTGCTTTATCACTCAGTTGTGGCCATTCCAGAGGACTCTTTAGTCATATGCAGCAGCACGACATTTTAGATACCCTGTGTAGGACCATTGAATCTACAATCCATGTGGTCACGAGGATATCTGGCAAAGGAAACCAAGCTGCTTCTTGACATTAGATGTAGCATGTCTACTTTTAAAGTCACCCCTCACCCCCAATGCTGTTTGTATAAGTTTTGCTTATTTCTGTTTTTGTGCTTCAGTTCGTCCAGTGCTCTCTGCTTGAATGGCAAGATAGATTTATAGGCTTAATTCTTGGTCAGGCAGATCTTCAGATGAAACAATTTGCATCTTCAGTATACTTTCTAAAGGGCAATCAGATAATGAATATGTTTTATGTAATTAAGAGTTTACTGTAGTGGCTTTCATTTAATATGGCTGTCTGGGAGGAACAGGGTTCCCTGGCCCTGTACAATGTAATTTAAACTTAACAGCATTTTTACTGTGTATAATATGGTGTCCTCTGTGCCAGTTTTGTACCTTATAAGAGAGGCAGATTGCCTCCGATCGCTGTGGTTCTTATTATCAAAATTAAGTTTACTTGTATACGGAACAACCACAAGAAATTTGATTCTGTAAAGAATCCTCTTTAGCTGTGGCCTGGCAGTATATAAATGGTGCTTTATTTAACAGAATACCTGTGGAGGAAATAAAGCACACTTGATGTAAAAATAATTGTTTTATTTTTATTGACATGACTGATTGCTATTCTGTGCACTTAATTAAACTGATTGTGATGACTTTTTATTCGTTTACATACCTTGCTTCAAGTCTTCTCAGATGAAAGTAATAAGAAAACTGAATGGGGGAACATACTTACTTATCCATTATATTCTATTTCATTAGAAGTATAGTGGCAGTCCAAAAAGTACCTTTTTCCATAGACGTTTCAATCCTCAACACCCTGACGTGCGTAACTGCTGCAGGGAGAAGCATAAGAATACAGCCAACTCGCCCTCACTTCAGCATATGCTTCTGAATGCAACACGCCACTGTTTCACTACCTAAGCGCTACACACCTTAAAAACCCTTAAGTAAAATAAAGGAATAGTATTAACATGCCATTTATTTTTTGTCTTCCTGAACTAAAATTACAGCTAAAACAGCAAGCTTGCTAGGACAAGCTTTAGCTTGGGACACTTCAACTATCTGTACTCAGGGACTCAATCTATTCCCAGAGGAGCATCTATGGGAGGTAAAATACCTAATTTCACATTGCTTGCTTTTAACTCAGTGCAGAGTCTAGTCATAGTAAAGATTCAAACAATGCTTTCAAGTGTAAGTTCATGGATTTCATTCAATATAAATTATTTTCTTTTTTTTAAAGGAATGACAGAGGAAAGAGGTAAACGTTACACTTTTTCTGCTTACAAAATGTAATGCCCTTATAAAATCTAAATCTAACTCAACCATTTAGGGTGATCAGCTGCAGTAAACCTTGTATTTCTTCAAAATGCTGCTTCTGCCAACAGAATTTCATGTTCTCTTCTTCACAGACAGGAACTCCTTTACAGTCCAATTGTAATTCTGTCTGCCCTAGAGTAGGCACAAAATTCAGTGCAACTATTGCATAGTGTTCTGGAAGAAAAAAAGGAAAGCTTATTACTGCATTATGAAAAGAAAAATTTATCCATACAGTACCACTATTTGATTTTCACAGTAGGGGGGAAAAAAACGAGTGTTTTTGGACTTAAAACAAAAGGTGCTAATAACATACCTTCTGGCCAGTTCCTACATCTCCATTTCATGACGATCTTTTTATTTGTTAACTGAAAACAAAGGGGAAATTCCACTGAAAAAGCCCCTATGCACGAGAAGTAATCAGTGAACAACGTACACTCCCATCTTCCAGTTTATATGCCAGCACCATTGAGAATTCATTGTCCCTAGTGCCAAAATGTAACGGCAGTAACATCAAGGACAGAAGCGTGACAACCAATGCAGAGCTGATGTCAACGGCAAGGCAACTGACATTTGGCAACACACACCCTAGTGGCAGAAACCTGAAACTTCTAGACCAAGAGTTGGGAGGAATTATACTTGTGTCTTCTAAAATCATAAACATTGCACAATTACTGTGAAACTAAAGCTTCAGCTTTTAGTATATATAACATTTTTTATTTTCCCTGTAACCAACTTTATAAAGTGGTCAAGTTTCTGTGAACTCAGATAAAAACCAAAGCACATTTTCAAAAGGCATGAATAAAAGCAGTATTAACAGAAGTCAGTCCCAGCTTAACTTTCCTTTAACCTATAAGATTACTTACCAATTCTACATATTCACCAGTGATGTTCCCATCAAACATTTGGAATTTCCTTCCCTTTTCAGCTTCTAATACAGCAGGAGATTTAGAAAATTTTTGCACCAACTAACCAAGCAAAACATACAATAGACATGTTATTCCGACATATGCTATCATGTTTTTAACCTAAATGTAAAGTACTAATATAAGCTACTGTGGTTTGTGTTTGTTTAATTGTGAATACATAGCTTTTAATTATAGCTTTCTCTTTCTCTCTCTCTCTTTCAGAGGAAGAAAGCTCAGTAAATTGCTCCAAACCCCTCAATGCTGATAAATTCCCCCCAAATGCCCATCATTTACCCCCCTCAAATCTTTAGGATAACTTCCCTGCCTCAAGCTATCCTAAAGATTTCTAGATCTCTTCAATCAGAAAAACACGGCCATGCAGGAAACCAAGAACCAGCTTCAGTTCTTAGTGGTGTAGGTGTATTTTCTCCCAATGTCAGCATTTCAGATCCTGGCTTGAGATGTGACTTACATCTTTCACAGTGAAGATTCTGTACAGCTGCTCAATAGCTGTGTCAAACAGTTCCGTCATGTGCAGTGCCACAGTGGGAATCCTTACACCCAGTGCCACTGGAGAGGAGGCCTGAATCTCAAAAGAAAAGGTTCCAAAGCATAATTATTAGCATGACAAGAGATTCAAAAAATTCAGTCTTCCAGTCTTACTAACACCAAAATGTCCCACACACTATCCCTTCCACTAAAAGCCTTTTTAGCACCACCAATCCTACCTAGTCTTTATTTTGGAAACAGTTCAGTGCTCCTTAGCTGTGTTCCACTCCCAGGCTATGGCTTCACAGCCCAAATCCTACTTGGGTATATAAATATGACCCAGGGAGCATAAAGGTAAGCAGGTGAAAGATACCAGCACTTAAGGCCAAAAGGTGTCAATTCCCCATCACCAGATTCCAAGAACAGGATCTAAAACCTCCCAATCCTCCAAATGTCTGGAGAGAAGTTTCTTCCATCGTAGTATGTGACCTCAAAGTCACCTGCTGTTATTTGTTGCCTACCGAAACAACACTGCCTTTACAACAGTCTTGAACTAAATTCAATATTTATCCCACAAAAAGGATCCCTTCCATCAAGGATGAAAGTCTCATTTCATCATTTCCCCCAAAATGGCAAGTGTTCCAAGGGTGGATTAACTGGCCCATCTCAATATCCGTCATAGTTCTCCATCATCACAAGGCTGTTTAGAGCTTTGAAGCCCTCTCATTAAGCACTTCCTTCCTCCCCCTCCCTACATGTCTGCCACCAGAGATCATACCTGCAAGGTAGTCTCACTCAGTTTCCTTTTAACAGTCAATTCCTGGGTTGCCATAGCTTTGGTTGGTAAAATCATTCCCATTGTAAATTCTACAAAGAAAACGTTATGAGAAATGGTTTTAATAAAGAACTTTTTACTTTTCAGCACAAATACTAAGGCAGAAAACTGAAAACAAGATATAAGAATATAAAGGAACTGATATTTGTAAAAAGAATTCCTATAGCGTTTTGAGAATTTCAAGACCATTCTGTATTTTTAACATATAAAACTAATCATTAACCTGAGTTCCATGGCAACAAATGCCTTTTATCCTTTTCTTTTTATCAAATGCCTCACTTTTATCTAGTTCTTGATAAAATAGCATAATTTACAAAGGTTGTTTTCCAAAAAGCTCCATTTTATACACCTAACTACTAACAGCTTTATGGCCTTCACTTACCGTCAAAGCCAGACACTTGGCTTATTGCTTCACCATGACTTCACAAAGCTTGGCCTCACAGTATTCAAGCCTGTGGGCCAGCAGCGTGTGTGATCTTGTAGGAAAAGTGTAAACCCCAAACCCATCTATGTCAATGCCTAGATACTCAGCAGAGTCCAAGGATGAGGTGCAGACATACAAGCCCTGCTGGCTATTTTACCTGGCAGGTAACTTCTCTAATTTAGGGAAGAAGACAATAACCTCAATTCCACACAGTGAAGGAATTAAATAAGTCTCAACTACACCTCTAATACCTGCACTTTCATTCACTCATTCAACAAAAATTAAGCACCTACTACATGCCAGGCATCGTGCTAGATGCTGGAGATATAGCAATGAACAAGACAGGCTCCTTCCATGCCTTCATGGAGCTTACAGTCCACGAAGTCCATGTAATTATAAAAACAACTGATAAAATAATTATCATTCCAGAAAACTATCAACAATTCTGTAGGCAAAATGGTTCACGCTGTGTAAAATACTGATAATCACTAATTATGGTCTAACTCATGACTAGCTCTCAACCTCCAGACTACAATTTATCCTGCAGCATACAGAATTGTTTCTAGAGCTCTGGAAATCAGCCTAACCCAGGAAACCAGACCACAGTGCAGAGCATTATTTGGGTAAATGGAAAAGGGACCCTCTAGTTCACAAGGGATGCCTTCTTTACCCGTCTTAAGTGCCTTCAGGTAATCTCCAAGGGCTTCCCTGACCTTGGCGGTGCCTGTAGTTTTCATAAGATCCTTCAGTATATTCCCATCTCCTTTCTTTTTACTCACGTTCACCTACAAATCAGAAAAATACAAACCTAAGAAAAATCTGGTTTGACGTAATCTTATAATACTGGGACATATGGATGAGGGAACTGTGATGGTGAGGAAAGGGAAAGAAGTGGATGTAAGAGACGTGACAGGTTTTCTTCATATAGTTTGAGAAGATGTAAGGGATTTTTAATCAAGGGTCCATTGACCTGGTTGGTGGCCAAATCTTGAACGGACTTCGTAGAATGTAAACCCCCCAATTTGCATACGTTTTATGTGTACATATATTATATTGATGATGTAGTTCATGGCTTTCACAGGGTCTAGAAATGCGCTGTCTAGTATGGTAGCCGCTTAGCCACACGTGGCTACTGAGCACTTGCAATGCGGCTGGTATGATTTGAGATGTGCTGTAAGTGTAAAATAATATACACCAGACTTTGAAGACTTAGTACCAAAAAAGAATGTAAAATAACCTCATTAATAACTTTGATACTAATTACATGTTAAAATGATATTTTTATATTTTGGGTAAAATAAAAAATACTAAAACTAATTTCATCTGTTTCTTTTAAATTTTTTAACATGGCTGCTAGGAAATTTTAAGTTCCTTATGTGGCTTGCATTATATTTCTGTTGAACAGCGCTCATCTAGAACCCCAAAGCCAGTGTAATTAGGAAAACCAAATTCCCAATATCCTGGTCTTGGGCTACATTTTTTTGTCAGGGAGGAGAGTTGGGAAAGGGAGAGGAGGAGGGAGAGGAAAGAAAAGAGGGAAGGATGGAAGGAATGGACAGGAGGGGAGAGGGCGAGACAGGGAGAGGGAAGCGTCAAAACGCTGCTCCGGGGATGCCTCTGTAGTAGTCTCAGAACGAAGAGGTGTTGGTTTGAAATATCTAGCGTCCCTGTGATTCGGTTGAGTTGGGCCTGCTCCCAGGCCCCAGTTCTAATCAGAAGAGTTTGTTCTGTAATACTATTGTACCACAGGCTGAATCTAAAAGACCAGTTTAATATGCTGCTGAAACACTTCTCAGCTGATGGATCTGAATACAGCAAAGTGAAATCACAGCCCGAGGGCAGCAACCACACATCCGAACGTATGTCCGAGACAGCCCCACTTTTACGGTCTTTTATAACCTTTAAGAAAGGCAACTCATAGTGGCTCAGTGTAACTTAGTTTTTATATCTTGAAGGCCTTCACACTGAATACCTTCACAAATCAAAAAAGACCCTGTATCAAACTATCTTCATTTGGAAAATATAGCTGCTGTACAAATGGTCTCACCCCAAAACCAAGCTTTTGGCTGAAAGAGGGCACTAACTGTAAACCAAGCATGGGAGTTACACAGGCTCTATCTCCCAAGACAACCAGAAGAACCAGTCAAAAGCAACACACACTGATTTACTAAAAACATGGTATAACCAAGGGAGATCACAGCGAAAAGCTGAGAATTTTCACTATTGAAGGGAAAGATTTATATCTTGAAGGCCTTCACACTGAATACCTTCACAAATCAAAAAAGACCCTGTATCAAACTATCTTCATTTGGAAAATATAGCTGCTGTACAAATGGTCTCACCCCAAAACCAAGCTTTTGGCTGAAAGAGGGCACTAACTGTAAACCAAGCATGGGAGTTACACAGGCTCTATCTCCCAAGACAACCAGAAGAACCAGTCAAAAGCAACACACACTGATTTACTAAAAACATGGTATAACCAAGGGAGATCACAGCGAAAAGCTGAGAATTTTCACTATTGAAGGAAAAGAGCAACGATGCAGAGGAGAAGCAGCAAAATCCCATTCACCAAGCTGTGCAAAATACCTGAGCACTTTCCAGTATGTACACTGTCACGTGTATCTGAAAGGTGAATTAACCCAGTGTCACAGATGAGGAGGCCACGGAGGGTGCAGTCACCTGCCTGGGCCCGACTCCTGGTCCACGGGGGTCTAGGGCCTCCCCAGTGTGCTCTTCCTCCTGCACCACTCTCCCACCCCACGCTGCACCCAGGTCCAGCTATCCTCCTCGGCAAACGAGCCCTCACTGATCACCAAAACTACCGCACAAGCACCACACAGTCCGATTAACAGTTTTTCAAATGCCCAACATGTCTAACAAGAAACTTGATTTTGAAAAAAAAAGAATAGAAAGAAACTCCATCAGATACCTCACCTCAGTGTCATCTATTTCATTTTCTTCAGACAGGTTGGGTATTTCAATCAACCCCTTGTGCTTCACACCAGATTCTTTAATTATACCTAAAATGAGCAAAATACGTTCCTCAATTACAAAGTAACAGCCAGTTTACATAAACCTGCCCTGCCTAACTGAACAGCCCACCATCCTCACAGGGCACCGCCACCGTGGGGACGAGGCAGGCCAAGCCTTCCCCACCACACACGCGCCCAAACCGACCCTGCTCTCCTGGCCTACATCACAGGTAAGCACCCTAGGAAGGCGGGGGTAAGAACCTGGCAAGTAAAGTGCACACACCACCAGGGGCCACGTGGAAGCACGGGACTGGAGTAAACGGCTCTGTTAACCAATGTTTCCTCTTTCATCCCCCAATATTCTTTACCAAGTCAAAGCAGGATAAAGGGCTGTCTTGAAGAGGAGTCACAAAAGGGACAGGAAGGCAAAAAGGGACAATGAGTTCTGATCACAGAAAGAGTGAGGGGAGGGAGGTGTGGCCTGGGGAAGTTTGTGTGGACTCTATGCAGCTGATTTCTTTCAAGACCAGAGTGTTGACTTCAATGACGACATCAAGATGGTGACAGGTTATTCCCGACTTCAGTCCCCCTCATAAAAAGACCAATTAGAAGGGTATGAGGAGTGGTTTAACACTCTGACCAAACCGTCCCTCCGCCAGGCCAACACAGAACCACAATAAGAGGGCCCCACTGCAGTTTTTCCAGCAGGAAAAGAGGGCAGAAGGTGGACATGCAGGTCCCCCGGCACTGTTGGATGCTTCCTGGGAGGGCCACTGGGGTCTCGACTCATGGAGACCACTGGGAATCAGATAGGGATGGAGAAGGGGGCAGGGCTTTCAGCAACCAGTGCTCAAATCTGGATGGGCCATGTTCCTGTTTGCAGCAGTGCATGAGCAGAGCTCAGCTGGCAAATTCTGCCTGATTTGGGTCCCCAGGCAACAGGCCAAAGCCAGCTGTGGAGCCCATTCTACCGCCCTACAAATTCATAGCTCCACTCACCTGCTGAGTATAGCTTCCCATCCTGCCCATCCAGGAAGCCCGACCAGAGAACGTGGGCAGCCTTGGAGCCCATCCAAACAGCCCCACTTGGGCAGGGAGCCAAGCCAGCAGCCCTGCCCAACTGTTGAGCATAGCCTCTGGCCCTGCGTAACCAAGGGGCCTGAACAGTGACCCTAAGCAGCCTCGGAACCCAGCCTACAGCCCTGCCCAATTGCTTAACGCAGCTTGTGGCCTTGTCCAGACAAAGAGCCCAGCAGAGACCCCGCCCCGCAGAGAACAGTCTCTAGCCTCCCCAACTGCGGGATACAGCTGGAAGCCCCTCCTGACCACACAGCACAGCCTGCAACCTTGTTCAACAGCTGAGCATACTCAGCACCCTATGGATGCTGAAGCCAGGCCTGCAGACCTGCCCAACTTCAAGGTACAATCTGTGTCCCCCACCTGGTCACAGAACACAGCCTGAGGCAAGGTCCTACCCTGAAACCCTGCCTGCAGCCCTGCCTGAACAGAGTCCAGCCAGCAGCACCACCTGGTCAGGGAGCATAGCCTGAGACCCTACTCAACCAGCAGCAATGGCAGAGCCCTGTCCATAACCCTGCCCAATCATAGAGTCCAACCAGTGGCACCACCCTGCCAGGGAACACAGCCAGTGTTCCACAGACTGGAACCAAGGGTAACTGCAGAGCCCAGCTAATGGCCCCATGTAACCATGGAGCACAGCCAGCAACCCTGCCTAGTCAGGGAGCCCACTCAGCAGCCCTGCTTAAACATGGAGCCCAGCTGACTCACCCAACCACAAAGCCCAGCTACTGGTAATCCCCTATCCTGACCTCAGAGCACACTCAACTGGAGAGCCTGACAGCAAGCCCTGCCTGCCCACAGACACTACTAGTTGACACATCCAATAGCCCAAGTTGAATGGTGAAGGTTTTTCCCTGCCAAAGCAAACCTGTAAAACATGGAAGAAGAGACCACTTACTTATACACACAGATACCAGTGCAAGGAATCAAGGTTCAAGAAAAATCAGGTAAACATGACACCACCAAAGGAATCAAATAAAGCTCTAACAACTGACCCAAAGAAATGGAGATGTATGAACTATATGACCAGGAATTCAGAATAAACCTCTCAAAGAATGTAGTGAACTATAAGAACACACAGACAACTAAATGAAATTAGGAAAATAATGCATGAACAAAATAAGTTCATAAAAGAAACAGAAATCATTAAAAAAAAAACAAAGCCAGCAAAATTCCTGGAGCTAAAGAATACAATGACTATACTGAAGAATTCAATAGAGAGCTTCAACAGCTAACCTGACCTAGTAGAAGTAAACAGTTAGTAAACTAGAAGATGGGTTATTTGAAATCATCCAGTCAGAGAAACAAAAAGAAAAAGTAATGAAAAAGAGTGAAGAAACAATATGGATCTCATGTGATACCATCAAATGAAATAACACATGCATTATGGAAGTCCCAGAAGAAGAGAAAGGGACAGAAAGTCTACTTAAAACAATAATGGTTGAAAACTTCCCAAACCTGAGAAGACAAATGGACATCCAGATTCATAAGGCCCAAAGGACCCCCAAATAGGTGGAACTCAAAAAAGGCTGCACCAAGACACATTACAGTTAAATTGTCAAAAATCAAACACAAAAAGAATTTTGAAAGCAGCAAGAGAAAAGCAACTCTTCACATACAAGGGAGCTTCATAAGGCTACAGGTGGATTTCTCAACAGAAACTTGACAGGCCAGCAGTGGGATGATATACTCAAAATACTGAAAGAAACAATATGTCATCCAAGAATACTATACCCAGCAAAGCTGTCCTTCAGAAGTAAAAGAGAGATAGAGACTTGCCCAAACAAACAAAACCTGAGGGGGCTCAATGTCACTAAACCTGCCTTATAAGAAATGCTAAAGGACATTCTTTAAGCTGAAATAAAAGGATGCTAGTTAGCATCATAAAAACATACGAATGTGTAAAACTCACTGGTAATGGTAAATATACAAAGTCAGATGATCTAATATTGCAATGGTGGTGTGTAATTCTCTTAACAACTCTACATTAAAAGTTAAAAAACAAATGAATTTAAAATAACCATAACTATGAGAATTTGTTATTGGATACACAATGTAAAAATATGTAAATTGTAACATAATAACCTAAAATGTGAGGGGTGAAGAAGTATAAATTTCTGTATGCTATCAAATTTAAGTTATCAGTTTAAATAGGGTGTTATAAATATATTTTATATACAACTCAGGTTAACCACAAAGGAAAAACCACAAAAGGTTATGATAAAGGAGTCAAAGCATACCAGCACAAAAAGGCAGCAAATGACTAAAGAGCTGGCAAGAGAGGAAGCAAAGAAGATAGGATCTACAAGACAGTTAGGAAAGAATTAATAAATGGCAATAGTAAGTCCTTACCTATCAATAGTTACTTTAAATATAAATGGATTAAATTCGCCAATCAAAAGACACAGAATGCCTGACTGGATGAAAAAAAAACAAGATCCAACAACATGCTGCCTACAAGAGACTCATTTTAGCTTTAAGGATACACATAAACTGAGAGTAGAGGGATGGAAAAGATACTTCAAGGAAATATTAACCAAAAGAAAGTAGGAGTAGCTATACTTATATTAGACAAATAAGACTTTAAGCTAAAAATGGTCAAAACAAAGAAAGTCATTATATAATGCTAAAGGTGTCAATTCATCAAGATATAATAATTGTAAATATTTATGCACCTAATACTGCAGCACCTAAATATATAAAGCAATTACTCAGAAAACTTATAAGGAGAAATAAACAGCAATACAACAATAGCTGGGGACTTTACTGCCCTACTGTCAACAATGGATATATCATCCAGAGAGAAAACCAATAGGGAAATACCAGATCTGAACAACACTATACATGAAATAGACCTAACATATACCGAACATTCCATCAAACAGCAACAGAATGCATTTTTCTCAAGCACCCACAGAACATTTTCTAGGATAAATCATAAGTTAGGCCACAAAACAGGTCTCAACAAATTCAAAAAGATGGAAATTATAGTAAGTATCTTTTCCAACCACAAATGGTATGAAACTAGAAATCAGTAACAGAAGGAAAGCTGGAAAGTTCACAAATATATGGAAATTAAAATACTCCTGGGCTTCCCTGGTGGCGCAGTGGTTGAGAGTTCGCCTGCCGATGCAGGGGACACGGGTTTGTGCCCCGGTCCGGGAAGATCCCACATGCCGCGGAGCGGCTGGGCCCATGAGCCATGGCCGCTGAGCCTGCGCGTCTGGAGCCTGTGCTCCGCAATGGGAGAGGCCACAACAGTGAGAGGCCCATGTACCGCAAAAAGAAAAAAAAAAATACTCCTGAACTAATGGCTCAAAGAAATCAGCGGGAAAATTTTAAAATATCTTGGCACAAATAAAAATGTAAACACAAACACTTATGAGATGCAGCAAAACCAGTTCTAAGAGGGAAGTTTGTAGCTAGAAACTCATACAACGACAAAAAAAAAGAAATATCTCATATAAAGAGCCTGACATTACACATCAAGGAACTAGAAAAAAAACAAACTAAGCCCAAAGTTAGCAGAAGAAAAGAGATAACCAGCAATCTACAGAGTCAATGCAATGCCTGTTAAAATTCCAATGGCATTTTTCACAGAAATAGAACAATCCTAAAATTTGTATGCAACCACAAAAGACCCGAAACAGCCTAAGCAATCTTGAAAAAGAACAAAGCTGAAGGCATCATACTTCCTGATTTCAAACTATATTATAAAGATATAGTAATCAAAAGAGTATGGTATTGGCATAAAAAACAGGTACACAGATCAATGGAAGAGAATAGAGAGCCCAAAAATAAACCCATGCATATGTGGTCAATTAAGCTTTGACAAAGGAGTCAAGAATATACAGTGAGGAAAGGACAGTCTCCTCAATAAATGATGTTGAGAAAACTGGCAGCCACAAGCAAAACAATGATACTGGACCACTATCTTACACCATACACAAAAAATTAACTCAAGGTGA